CTATGCATATTTTGATGCTTTGGGTTGACTGATTGAGCTAATAACCCTTTTGCTAAAGACACTTGATATAGCTCCAAGTACAACGGGGCTTAAGAGAGATGTGCACCTGTCTCTGTTTATGCAAGGCAAACATTGCACCCCATACAAAATTATTGTATGATTTGTATTGTCTCTGTGCTGTATTAGCATACTCCAAACCCTCAAAACCGATTGGTCCCGATGGACAACGACCTGATTGGTCGGCAACCCGGCCGTGATTGGAGCGCTTAGAAGCTACCGTGATTGGCTGTGCCGATCGCGGGAGATTCAAAGCTCTGCCATTGGCCGTCGAGCCGCGAGGCAGCCCTATATGAAGGGCTGCCGCGGCTTGTATTCTTCAGACTGTTCTTATTACAAATAAAGAGCTGAACTCACAGAATGGTCTCGCGTCTCATTCGTCCCGACCCACCTCAGATCTAACACTGGCAACGAAGGTGGGATCGTGAGACAAAGAGACCACCCAGCACGTGGCAGAGCAGCACACAGCAGCAAGCAGCATGGCCGGCGTCAACTCGCCACCGCACCCTTCAATCCCGCTACCGAGGACTGGGAATCCTATACCGATAGGTTCCAGATGTTCCTCGAGTGTAGCAATCTTAAAGATGCCAACGGTCACAAGAAGCGGGCCGTCTTCCTCGCACACTGCGGACCGACCGTATTTAAGATGGCCAAAGCCTTGGCCAAGCCCGAGGACGTTAAAACCATGGAATGGAGCGAACTCGAACCCCTACTGAGAAGCCACTATGCCCCCGTCGTGCCCATCCTCATCCGTCGGCATGAATTCTACAGGCAGGACCAGCGCGATGGCGAAGGGCTTGGCGACTTCATAGCGGCCCTATGAGATTTGGGCGGCCTATGCGAGTTCGCCGACCTGGACGAGGCCCTGCGAGATCGCGTCGTCCTGGGGCTCCGAGACCCTATCCTCCAGAGCCGCATCATGGCAAAGGGCGACATCTCCCTCGCCGACGCCCTCACCGACATATCCACGGCAGAAGCAGCCAAGAAATCGGCGGCTCGGATGCGACAATCGAGCATCACGCCCCGAGCAGCGACCAGCGAGACGGCACCAAACACCGAGAAGCGACCCGAGAACGACCCCCGGGATGCCACCACACACCACGGTGACATAGACTCCTTCTCGGGAACCGAGGAGGAGGAGATCCACCGGTTGCAAGCGGCCCGAGGGCGACGGGAAAACCAAGATCGCAAGTCGAGGTTCCAGTGCGCCGGCTGCGGAGGCGATCACCCCCGATCGGACTGCCGGTTCTTAGATGCCGTTTGCTGGCAGTGCGATAAACGAGGGCCCATCGCCAAAGTGTGCAGAAATAGAAGACGCTACAGCCCGCGGTGTCGAGATGGCAGCCCGCACAGACAAGAAAACAACCCCAACAGCCACAGAGACCGACAGTCAGAGAGCTGTTGGAGCCAAGAAGGTCGGAACAGGCGGCTCAACGAAGCAAGGCAAAGGGAGGAAACGCACCAGACCGTCATCGTCGGCCATTCCTCAACAAGAGACGCCAGGAAGGTATACGTCACGGTGGGAATAGAAGACCAGCCATGCGACATGGAGGTGGACTCTGGGTCCTCCCTCTCCATGGTCTCATGGCATACCATCAAGCGCCTGGTCCCCTCAATCCGCCGAAAGGAATTAGAAGATCAACCACTAACCCTCAAAGACTACCAGGGAAACCGCATCCCTGTAGTTGGCAGAGGCCATTTTAAAGTCACATTCAAGAACCACACCGAAGTACTACCCCTGACCATCGTCGACCGGGATCGGCCGAGCCTATTGGGACTACAGTGGTTCGCGCCGCTAGGCATTGAAGTAACTGGAATCCACCACACCACAGAGTCGGACTGGGAAGCGGCGCTTGTGGAGGACTTCCGGGAAGTTTTCGATGACAGCCTAGGCAAGTACTGGGGGTCCCCTATATCTTTCAATATTGACCCGACCATCGCACCAATCCGCCTTAAGCCCAGACGGGTGCCATTTACCCTCAACCACGCGCTCCAACAAAGCGCATACCCCGTCCCAGTTGTGCAACACCTTCTGCACTCACTGGGGGGAGGCCGGGTCTTCGCAAAGCTCGACCTGGCACAAGCCTATCAGCAACTGCCGGTCGACGCCGCAACCGCCGAAGCCCAGACCATCGTAACGCACCGGGGGGGTTTTGTTGCAACCGGCTCCAGTTCGGAGTCAGCGTGGCACCCGGGGTCTTCCAAAGCCTCATGGAAAGACTCCTCCAGGGCATAGAGGGGGTGGTGCCCTACTTTGACGACGTCTTGGTGGCCGCGAAAAATGAAAAGCAACTAGAAACCCGGTTGAGGGAGGTACTGAAGAAATTCAGAGACTCGGGACTCAAAGTCAAAAGAGGGAAGTGCCAGCTAAGGGCTGAAAGGGTCGAGTTCCTACGGTACCTCCTAGACAAACATGGCATCCACCCCACAGAAAAGAAACTGAGAGCCATAAGGGAAGCGCCACGACCCAAAAGCAAAATGGAACTGCAGGCTTTCTTGGGACTGTTAAACTTTTACAATGTCTTCCTACCCCAAAAGGCGACCGTGGCGGAACCGTTGCATAGGCTGTTAGATAAAACAGCCACCTGGACCTGTGGAGCACGGGAGGAGAGCGCTTTCAACAACACAAAGAAACTGCTAACATCTGACACGGTACTAATCCAGTACAGCGAGACTCTGCCATTAACGGTAACGTGCGATGCATCGCCTTTTGGAATCGGCGCCATCCTCAGCCACCAGCTACCAGACGGGAGGGAAGCACCCATCGCCTTCTCATCAAGGACACTTTCAAAACCGGAGCGGAACTACAGCCAGCTCGACAAGGAGGCCCTAGCAGTCGTCGCCGGCGTCAAGAAATTCCACAAATACCTTTACGGTAGGACTTTTACAATCATTACGGACCACAAGCCGTTGCTAGGGATCCTGGCAGGAAATAAGGCCACACCGAACATTCTATCACCAAGAATGACAAGGTGGTCTGAGTTCCTGTCAGCATACAACTACCAGCTGATTCACCGACCCGGGAAGGACATCACCCACGCAGACACCCTGAGCCGTTCACCCTTGCCCGACCTCGAAGACGACCCGGCTCCCACGACCGAGGTATTCCAAATAGAGACAATGCCCAACCCACTAGTGACCGCGCCAGACATTGCCAGAGAAACAAATAAAGACAAGCGGCTGGCGCGAGTCCTAAGCTGGGTTGGAAAAGGGTGGCCGGAAGGGGACAAGGACGAATTATTCAGACCCTTCAGAAACAGACAAACCGAACTTTCTACCGAAAGGGGCTGTATACTTTGGGGGGACAGAGTGGTAATTCCAGAGGCATTACAAGAAAGGGTATTGGGAATGCTGCATGAGGGGCACCCAGGGATGGTCAAGATGAAAAGCCTGGCCAGAAGCTATGTATGGTGGCCAGGCATGGACAAACAGATTGAAACCTGGGTAGCCAAATGCAATCAATGCCAAGAGTCCAGACCCAGTCCTCCCGCCGCCCCAATACATGAATGAGAAACACCAAGAGGACCATGGTCTCGGATTCACATAGACTTCGCGGGGCCAACCAAAGGGCACATGTATCTCATCACAGTGGATGCTTACTCCAACTGGTTGGAGGTAAGCACCATGAAATCAACCACGACAGAGGCGGTAATAAGAAAACTGGGCAAACTCTTTGCCACACACGGCCTGCCGGACATAATAGTGTCGGACAACGGGCCCCAGTTCACCGCACTAGCGTTTGAACAATTTCTGGCAGGCCTGGGCATACGCCATGCACTAACCGCGCCGGCAAACCCGGCGGCGAATGGACGAACGGAACGCATGGTACAATACACAAAAAAGGCCATTAAGAAAATAGAAACAACCAATATACAGGACAAAATTAATAAACTGCTCTTCATCCAACACATCACGCCGAGTGCCACCACAAACAGAAGCCCGGCAGAACTAATGATGGGCAGGAAACTACGCTCAACGCTAGATAGAATGCACCCCACATACACCCCCGACAAACCCCCGGGATCCTCCAGCAAATACAGACAATTTAACATAGGGGATGCCGTATACGCAAAAAACCTGTCGGGGGAACCACTATGGATACCAGCAACGATCACCCAAAAAACCGGGCCCATATCATACCGCCTAGAAACAACCAACGGGAAACACTGGAAACGGCACATTAACCAGCTAAGGTCCAGAATAGCTAACAACCATACACCCGACCAAGAAACTAGAAGGGGGGGGAAACGGAAAGCGTTAATGAAAAAGGGAACCCCCTAGCGCAAGCCGAACAAACCCCACCCGGAACAAAAAACCCACAAATAAACCAGTCCTACTCACCAGCAAACGAGGGTCCAACCGAACAAGCAACCCCAGGAACATCACCAGGAAGGAGTAGCCGGGCCAGCACAACCAGCCCGGAAAGCTCCCGCAGGAACAGCCAAGACGGCAGCTCAACCAGCCCAGGTAGACCGAGAGGGAGCTACCAAGAAAGGCCCAGCCCGACCTTCCAGGCGGTTCCATCCCTGGGAACCAGAGCAACAGAGGAGGCCTCCGAACCGGTCGACAACCAAACAAGAACTGATCTGCGCAAGTCAACTAGGCAGGTACGAAGACCCGCCTACCTGCGCGACTACGTCACGACGCACCGACAGACGAAACCAAGAGGGGAGGGGTGTGCTGTATTAGCATACTCCAAACCCTCGAAACCGATTGGTCCCGACGGACAACGACCTGATTGGTCGGCAACCCGGCCGTGATTGGAGCGCTTAGAAACTACCGCGATTGGCTGTGCCGATCGCGGGAGATTCAAAGCGCTGCCATTGGCCGTCGAGCCGCGAGCCAGCCCTATATGAAGGGCTGCCGCGGCTTGTATTCTTCAGACTGTTCTTATTACAAATAAAGAGCTGAACTCACAGAATGGTCTCGCGTCCCATTCGTCTTGACCCACCTCAGATCTAACAGTCTCTATTAGCATGCCTCCAGGAATAAGCCATGAACAGGGACGTGGCATTCTCTCCTTCGGGTCCTTGTTAAAAAAGTTCACAGTTACAACACAACCATATTTGTATTCCAGGTAGTATTTTTTGATGCTAAACGGCTGGGTATTTGGGTTTTATGCTTATTGTTAGATCAATCGTGCACTTTCTATTGTTCAGGCAGGAGACCTCTGGCTCTGGATCCCTAAAATCTTTTTCAGCCTCCCTCCATTTTCATCTTGGAAAGACTGCACAATGCAATGAGCTGTACAGGATCTTGGAGTCCTAGTAGACAGTTACCTCAACCTGAGCCACCTGTGTGCTGCAGCTGCCAAAAAAACCAACACAATCCTAGACTGCATAAACAGAAGGATACAATCCAGATCATGTGAAGTATTATTCAGACTTTATAAAGCCTTAATAAGACCTCGCTTAGAATATGGCATCCAGTTTTTAAATTTGCCATGTTGAGACTCTGGAAGGAAGAGCAA